GCAGTATGCATGCTGCCTAGAAACTTGTAGGCTTTCCTAACCCATGACGTTCTGCATCCCCTTATACCCGAAGACCTCAGAGGTGCAGACTACCCACGTGCTCACAAGTGCAGAAACCACGGGGAAAACTGCACATGCGTCCACAACATAAGCACACATTTTTCAAGGCAAAGAGAAGCACTTGGAGGTGAGAGCAGAAATGGACAGGTGTATAGAAGGAGTGATGTTCCTGTAGTGGAGAAAGAAGGGGCTCTTCTATTTATTTAAATACACAGATAGTACCTTTGGAGGTGGACAGATGACATATGGCCTAATGGGCAACCATAGAGCAAACAAACAGGTAGAGATAGGCAAAGTTTGTCCAGTCACAGAGGTGAGGACAGCTGCACTGGTCTCCAGCCTAACTTATGCTGGCATCAGGCAAAGGTCACTACAGTCACAAGGACAGTACCAAGACTGGGGAGCCTGTGGCCACACAAACTCATTTCTTGACACTCAAGTTCATTTCCCAAGAAATCTAAGCCCATTAGGCTTTTGCTCGCAGATGCTGCCCCATCTTCCAGTGTAGAGCTGGCTCCACATCTAGACCCCCAATCTCATGGGGTCTTCTCTACTGTCCTTGCAGAGGAAAAGGTGCTACCACGTCCACTTCACATAGCGGAAGGCCAAGTGATACCCGGGAAGTGGTCTGCCAAGAGGACACAGCTAGAGAGCTGGACTTGCTCTTCCCTGCTGAGCCACTCCACCCTTCCCAGCTGGCCCCTGGGATTGCATCCCAGCCTCCTGCGTGCCCTGCTCTCCTACATGCTGACTGTAGGAAGCAACAGCGCTCCTTTGTAGCCAGGTCTCACCTCAACCCACAGCTCCTAGACAAGGGCATGTGCTGTGCATCTCCACAGCTTACTCCCCTCCTTTGCTCCAAGTCCAACCTGAGCAACACTCTTGGGACTTCCATGGGGAAGCTAAGTAAGGAAATAAACTGCCTCCTCCAGTTACAGAAGCAGAAGGGGGCTGTGAAAGGCAGTGACAGCACACAGCCATTTGCAGCAGCCATACAGCCTGCCCTGCCTACAAATGCACAACAGTACCAGCTTGGCACCATTCAACTGCACAACTCACTGTGCAGCTGATGAGTGAAATGCAAAATCATGGCCCCCACATCCCACATGCAGAGGATGATACAGCACACCCCTCACACAGACCAACAGACCCGTGCGGTATAACCTTGCTTGGGCTTGGACAAGTTACACAGATGCTCAGTGCTTCAGTAACCTGCTGAAGGACAACGAGGCTCTGGGCGAGGCAGAAAGCAATAGGGAGAAGACCAAGGACTTCAGGGGTTCTGTTTGTTTCTTTGTGGTGCTGGGGATCAGCCCAGGGCCTCACGCACCTGGCAATAGCTCCATCACCGAGCCACACCCCAGCTCAGACTTCAGTTTTTCAGCTGCCTATAGAGAGGGCAGTGCAAATCTCCAGGGCATGAACATTCAGGGAATGAGTGTCCCATCATGTTGGGGGGAAACCAGCGCAGAATGGTAGCTAAGAGGAGAAGATTCTGCAGGGGCAAGGACGGGGACTGGTGACAGCCTGCCTTCTGGTACTTTAGGGTCCAACTTCCTCCTCATCCCCAGCCTGTCTCCCTCCAGGCTCGCAGTGCTCTTGGGAGGAAGGTGAAGTTTTCTGCAAGGCACATCTGGGTCTTCTCTGCTCCCACAGGCCAGGGGATGGGAGGGAATCTCACACAGCCTGTGGTCACTGTCAGCTTCCCCCTGGGTCACAGCTAAGCGTGGAATATCCCGCAGATAGGACTGCTGCAGATACTCATAATGTTGAGTAAGTATTCCGAGTGCTGGTGCCAGCAGTACTCTGGGTATTACTGTTACTAACACCAGTAACTACTGCTGAGACTGTCTCTACCATTGCCAGCACACGCTGAAGTGACTGTCCTTGGTAATGGCCACAACTGTGACATCGTGATATCATTAGAGCCGGGGAACAGGCCACATTGTCCTCAGAGGCAGGAGCTGCAGCAGTTTCTGGGAGGGCAGAGAAGTGTCCATCTTGCCCTCAGGGTATGACCCTTGAATAGCCTGCCAAAGCCTGAGGCCACCGGAGGGCCAGAAGGAAGAGCACCCGGAGTCCTCCTTGAGGGGAGCGGCCCGGCCCTCCACTCTCTAGAGCCAAGACCCTGGTCACGAATGCATGGCCCACCACTTGAAGTCTCCACGTCAGCCTTTCTTTCCCCTGCAGTCCTGGCCCAAGGGCTGAAAGACACACCGAGGGTCTGTGCAGCCTGTGCCCAAGGCTGCCTCCTGCAACCGAGGGGCCTGGCAGCTGTTCTGCTACCTTGGCCTGACTGCAGAGTTGGGCTACATCATCTTGACACATAATTATCTTCCCTACTCTTAATCATCTGAGCTGCTCCCTAATGCAAACTGGGCCTGGCTGCTTGGAGACATCTGGAGTGGGGGAGGGAGGAGGGCCAGGCCCTCTACCTTGGCTTTCCCCTCCCCTCTGTCCCTTCCCACTTGGGTCCCATGGATCCAGGATAGGGCAATGTTGACAGAGAGCTGGCTCCCACATGAGCCTGGCCTCCAGGGCAGGGACAGCTCCACTGGCCAGGGGCTGGCCAAAAGGAAGGGTAGTCAGGACAGGAGAAGCCCCGCAGCAGAGAAGGAACGCTGGTCCCTCTTACCACCTCTCACCTTGGGCCCAACAGTGAGAGGAAACTGCAAGGCCCCAGGGCCCCTCCTGCCCTGCAGACTCCTGCAGCTCCCCACATGGTCTCCCTGCTGGCACACTGTCCAAACCCAGTACTGCCCTTGTCCCTTCCTGTCCAGGCCCCTTCAGAGGCTATTCTCATTTTCAGGGAAAACTAAAAATTAAAAAACCAAACCACATCCAAACTTGCACCCTCCCTCCCTGGCCCAGTCCCGACCTGCTCTTCTGCAACCCTGACCATCTACTTAGCCTCTCTCTGCCACTTCCCTCCTGCCCACGATCCCTGCCAAGGCTGCCCTGGGCTGCTGGCCACAGGCCCTTCTGGTCACAAGGTCGCACTATCAGATAGAATTTCAGGGTGCCATTGTCTTTGCCTTTCTCCTCAGCTATGCCAGGGCCTCTTCTCAGAGAGAATGTCCTGGCAGTGACCCCCACTCCTTCCCCAGGCTGGTGATCAGACCTCCCTCAAGAGTGGCGTCTGATGGGCCATTGTGCTCTGTGGGTGCAGGCTTTTACCTGGCCCATTGGACTGGAAGCTCCTTAAGGCCAGGGGCCACATCTCGTCCTGCTTAGGGATCTCTGCCCAGTGCCTTGCAGCTAATGTGCAGGACGCACGCCGAGCCAAGGCGACTCAGCACGGTGCACGTGGGCAGCTGCTCAGAGAGGAGCGTGCAGCCTGGGCCTGCCAGAACCTGCTCTGGGTGGCTAGGGTCCCAGGCCAGTGCCCCCACCCCAACCTTCCTTTATGGTGCCCATCAGAGCTCAGGCAGGGGGAGGCAGGAGTGGCTCTGCCGTGGGCCAGCAGGAGAAAGGACAGAGCGCTTCTGGGGCTTCCTTCGACTCCTGGCTCTGTCATACCCTAAATGCTGCAAGTGCTTAAAGAGAAACCCTTAGGGTTCGAGGCGACCTTTACCAAGCTCTCAGGGTGCAGGGGAGCTTGGCTGAGCCTGGCAGAGGAAGCCCTAGGGACAGGCTGGACTTAGGGCCTTTTACAGAGCCGCCCCCTGCCCATCAGGGGCTGCCGCCAAAACAACCACAATGAAATTTAGTGAGTGGCAAAGGCCGTGGCAGCCAAATGGGTTTGGATATTTGGGAAGAAGGAGAAATAGAGCCAGACAAGCTGTTTCCCTGTGAAACGAGGCCGTTAGGGCTTCTGGAGGGAGGCCAGGGCCAGGTTGTCACTGTCTTGCCAGGCCGAGGCCTCTCCTATACTCTGCCCCTTGCGTTGCAGGCCGAGACTCTCAATGTGCTTCCCTCTGCCTGGCCCAGGGAGTCCTGACTACAGCCCAGGGACCGTCTGCGTGGCCCCTCTCCTCCGCTCTTCACTGCCTTACAGTTCCCCACAGGGGTCATCCACGCGGGGGCTGACCCTGGAAGGTATGAGGAGCTGCTGCAGGGCCAGGACACAGACAGCAGGCGTGAGGGGCCGACGGGCCTACAGCTCCCCTCTGTGCTCACCTTTGCAGGCTTCTGTTTCCCAGAACCCCACATCCTGGTCAGGACAGGAGGTTACTCCTTCCCTAGTGGGCACCGTGGGAGAACTGGGGCAAGAAGCAGGCCTCAGGTGCTGATGTCTGTTTGTCTGAGTCTGCAGCCCCACATCCTGGCTTCACGCATCACAAGAGAACCAGATAGTCACCAGGGAACCCCCGAAGCTGTAGCGCTTGAGAAACACCTTGTGCAAGTTTGTCCACCACCTCCCCTTCCTTCCTTATTCCCTCAACTCCCAGCCCACTGCCTGGCTGCCCTGTGAGGGGTCCAGGGGAAGGAGGGCAAAGGCCAGCAGGAACCATGAGTGAATCCTGCTCTCATGAGGAGGCAGCACCAAGAAAGGCCCCGCATCCAGCTCCCTGAGCACTCAACGGGCAAGGAAGGACACCGGGGCCCTGCGCACAACATCACCCCTTATTCTCAGCTGGGCTAGGGTCAGGCGAGGACACGCGAGGCTGGCCTTTTGCTCCTGGGTCAGAGACCAGCTGTCCTCCAGCCTCCCCAACCTTCCGTGGGAGGTGCTCTGCTCCCCTCCTGGCATCCTGCAGGCTAGCTGGGTGGGTCTCAGTGGAAGGTGAGGCCCACGGGGTTGAGCAGATGGCGAAGCTGGTGGCCCCAACAGCAGCCTCCCTCCTCTCTCCAGGAGCCAGCAGGACAGTGGGGGTACTTGGGCTTTGCCACTAAAACTGATCTCCTAGTAGAGCAGCTGCAAGGCCAGCAGAAACCGGAGCTCTGAGCCCAGGGACAAAGCGTGCGGAGGCGAAGCCAGTCCTCTTCCCTCCTCCTACCTTCATCACGTTTCCTCTTCTCACCGTTGGAGCGAGGAATCCCCAGGATCCCATTGATGGAGTAGGATCCCACCGGGTCATTGGAGGCGCTGGAAACAGGAGGGGAGGCCGTGCTGGGAACTGGATGAGAGTAACGAGGAGACGCGGTGAGGCTAGCAGCTCTGATCACAGGCCAAAGCCACGCGGTGGAGCAGAGTGGGTCCACATGCACCCTTCTGCCCCCAAGGCCTAAGGGGGTCATGTGGCCACACACGCTAAGGCTCCTCACACTCTTTCTAGGCCCCCAGGGATAGGATCTGCTGGCCCAGGCCTCCTCCACAGGGAGGCTGACCCCATCCCTCAGCAGCCACCTGGAGAGCATGGCCCTTAGGGACCCCCTGGCACAGCTTGGCCACCAAGGGCTCTTCTGTCCCCGGGAGCGTCCTTAACAATTGTGAGCTAGAGACCTCTCAGGTTCTCTGGGAGACAGAGTCTGCTGCCTATGCTCCCAGGACAAGAGGTGTCGTCCTGGGCTTCCCCCCAGGGCATGGACTCCTGAGCCCATTCACTGTACCATGGCAGCTTGGTCCAGCTTGGTCTAACCCTTTATCCCAGGACACTCTGCAACCCAGGCCTGGTAAACAGAAACTCCTGCCAGTTCCAGGAGGGCTGGGCCAGCCACTTGTACTTCTTGCTGGCCAAGTACAAAGGAGATGGTAGTTAAGAGGGGCAGCAGGAAAAATTTAACCATACCCCAGTCCCTCAGACCCCAGGCCTCAGCTAGGGGCACAGTTCCCCTGAATACCTTTAGGCCAGAGAAGTCAGCCTGTGTGAGCCCAGGGCAGAGACCAAAATAGCCAGTATCCTGGCAAGCCTGGGCACCTCTAGGAGAAACCCACACATGGCAGGAAAGAGGCAGAGAGCAACAGTGTAGATGAGGCAGTGAAGGAAATCACACGAGGTCAGGAGCAAGGAGTCCACACAGGAGGGGAGAAGAGAGAAGAGGGACAGATTAGGAGCCATGGAAAGGGAAGGAGAGGAGAAGTTAAGAAGGGAGGGGAGAGGAGGAGAGGACAGGAGAGGGGAGGAGAGAGGAGAGAGGAAAG